GGAGGAACTCTGTAAAAAATGGCTGTAATTCCTAAACGGTTAATGCAATATTTTTGTTAAACCCCTTGAATTAAAGCTGAAAGTCTACGCTTCAGTCACATCTTGACTGCTTCATTTCAAATCCACTGTGGTGGTGTACAGAGGCAAAATTACCAAAACTGTGTCACTGTCCCAATATTTATGGACCTGACTGTAGGTTTGGGTCAATTAGAGGTCAATGGGGAATTGAGACAATTAGCAGTATTTATATTTAGGTTTGGGTCAATTAGAGGTCAATGGGGAATATTTATTTTCTGGTTTTGGGGCATTAAGCAGTCAGGTGGTATTTAAATTTGGTCATGGGGCATTTAGAGATCATGAGAGTATTATTTTTAAGTTTTGGGGAAATTAATAGGCAGGATTATACTTATTTTTGGGCTTGGAGAAATTACAGTTTACAGAGGTATTTATTTTTGGCAATTAACAGTCATGATGATATTTCTCTTTGGGTTTCTTCTGTTCACCTTATTTTACTTGAGATATGCTTGTTTTTAAGTGAAAAAAATGAATAGCACCAATTTGAGTGCAGCATTTTTTGTGGATGACTAGAAGGACCTATTATTCCAGTTTTGTGATGATTGCTCAGTTTTAACCCTATCAAGTGCCTGCTGAAAGCTGATTGGCCAATGACGGCCATGTTTTTTAAGCGACCAGGTCGTCATTAACAATACGCCAACTGAACGAATTATAGCAGTTTTTTAAAATCACATTCAAGTGAATGGGTGGAAAAGGGATGAAAAAGAATGGATGAATATTTACAAAAGCTGCATGCAAGCACACTTGTCAGGATCAGACTGGACATGTCAGAGTTTGCTGCAGAAAATGCAGAAAGTGCAGAAAATCAAGTGGAATAATGATAATAATATCAGAGAACAATTAGTGTGTTGCTTCCGCAACACTAAGCGGTTGATAGGGCATTGTCAGGTGATGCCTATGGTATTGGTGGAGGTTCTTATTTTGTTCTTAGGTGGTTGTCAGAGTATTTAGGCATATGGTATGTGAGAAAAATGTGCTTGAACTTAACCATGCCCCCTGAGGGAGACCACACCTAAACTTTAGCACATAGCCTCAGAATCTAGCCCTGAATATGCCTTTCAACTTTTGCGCATATCCATCTAATATATTACATGTTACAGCTGTTTGGGTAAATTAAGCCCCACCTTGGAATGACTGATTGGTATTTTTTTATAAATATCCATAGATTTTTAATAATTATTGATTGACAGACTCTGCTAAGAAATTTGACACCACAGTTTGGAATATCTGGCAAAAAAGGAAGGTATTCCTAGGAATAGTTTGAAAATGCTGGGTTCATATATTATTCAAATTATAAAAAATTTGATTGGGTGGGACTAAATGTTCCAAAAAACAAATTCGTGTTGCATAAGTGACTGAATCAGGAGAAAAAAGAATATTTGCTTCCCATGTTTTTTTTTGTTTTTTTTTTTTTTTTACATGACATATGCTTGTTTATAAGTGAAAAAATGAATAGTGCACCCAATGGCCAATTAGAGTTTTTGTGGGTTGCTAAAAGGAATTATTAGTTTTCTGATGATTGCTCATTTTTAACCCTATCAAATGCCTGTTCAAAGCTGAATGGCCAATGGTGGCCATGTTTTTTTTTTTTTTTTTTTAAGAGACCAGGTAACATTAA